ATAGCTGATAGTGGATCACTACACTCATTTCTGGCTCTATCCAGAGAATAGAAACATTTACCCTTTAACAGATATCCAAATCCAATGAGGCTTCTTGTGGTCAATGCTTCTTTAATCTAATGCAAGCCTGATTTGATATGAAAACCATGATTATTCAAGAGAGCATTAGACAACATTGATAGATTCCTCACTGATTGTAAACAGTACTTCAAGGTATACTCTACCTACTTCATAGCCAACATCTACAAGGTTGCCTTCATGGCCTCCTACTTTGAAGACAAAGCCAAGATCTGATAGATCCTGCAATCAATGAATTTCTATTCTAGTACCAGATAGCATTATTGACTGCTATTCTGAGAAATCTTTAAACAGATGGTCCAGAATAAATTTATTGATTCTGCTGTATAAGAGATACACAAAAACAAGATGAAGGAATTACAGATGGATGATAAAACTACCACTGAATACTTTGACAAGCTAAAGCAGCTTGCCAAGTTAGTAGAGGTCCTCAATGACATTGATGATGATGAATGCATGATTGAGATATTAAAGATTAGTGTTTTCCAATTATTTACAACAATCATCTCAGATATTGGGGTCAATATCCTAAAGAGGTATAACAAATGTAAGGAGTAAGTAACCATGATAAACAAGAAATAATAGTGACAGAAAATAGAAAACATCTACTATCAAAATGAGTATAAACTCAACTAAGCAAACTCCAGCAAGCCCAGTGAATCAACCACCTCTCTGAAATCCAGTACTTCAACCAACACTCCTGGTCTGTTCTATACCAGCCAGAAAACCAGAATCAGAACCACCTACACTGGCACTGAGAAACTAATGGATATTGACTGAATAAAGAAAAAAGGCAAATGCTTTAACTGTGGGGAGAAGAGTCACCTGTCTTAGAACTGCCTGAAAAAGAAGTGCACCTAAGAAGATATATGAGCTCAGATCACTGAGTTGCAGAAGGAAGCCAATAGACTCAAAGAAAATAAGAGAGATATGAAGATTGAGAAGATAAAAGATGAAGCCAACAAGTGAGCAATTCCACTCAGTCAGCCAACAAACCTTATGGTGTGTCTCAAAATACCACTGGACAGGCTTATGCTAGCTCTATAGTTACTACTATTTATGCATATTCAAATATACCTCATTCAACAAGGACTATAAAACTATCCAAAGAATCACTCAAATCTGAAACTCAACTGTCTATGAGCCAAATAGAGAGAGAGACTTCCAATGGCTGGCTAAAATCATTCAAAACTGAATAAACCTGGCAAGCCATCCAAAATGCCAAGAACAAGGCTGAGACAAAAGCTGTGCTCAAGAACTGAATATACAAAACTTGGACCAAAGAAGTGATTGATGAAATGATCAAAGGAATAGATGAGCCTCCAGACTCTGTATGCTCATAAAATTTGTGGATCCATAATAATTCAAGCAACATTCTACTCTCTTCACAAAGTCTATCCAACACTCATAAAGTCTCCTCTCAAATCCTATTCAAACAATCCAAAATTCATTCAGAATCAACATTCTAGACTTTTCAAATCACTTGAAATAGCTTTGAGTGACTTGAATATTATTATGCAATCCAAATAACAAGTTAGCAAACTTATAATTCACTAATAAGTCTCTAAACTCTTAAACTAATCATTGCAAGTCTAATGCAAGTACTTTCATTGCAAACTTTTTATATGTGAAGTATTTGCATTATTCACAAAATATATGCATCATTTATGAAGTCTTTGCATTATTTGCAAACCTTTTGCTTTGCATATGAGCTTTTCATGGCATGTGAACTTTCTCCTCAATAGCTATGCATTATAAGCACAGCCAGATACCACAATACCTGATCATATATGATATACATTATTTTCAATAAACACATGGCACCCTAATACAGTCTATAAGGCTCATCACAATGTGTATGCAAGGCTTGCTGCAGGTGTCTAAGCTTTTCACAGCTTGCATATGGAAGACTAGTAGACTACAGAAAACTAACCATGTGTTTGGTTAGATATTTGTAAGAAATATTAGAAGGCTAGCATACTATTGGCTCTATGAACTTTTAAATATGCTATACTTAGTACAATCCTCACAGCTTTGAAGGCTTTACATAATAAAAATTTTGTTATGCTCACTAAGCTTAGTACTGTGGTTACAAATGCTGTTTAATGTAGTATACTTAAAATTAGTAAAAGAGTAGTATAAATAGTGTACTATATAATAGATAGAGGAAAAGCAGCATATAGGATAGACCCCAAGGGAGTTGCTTGCCTACAAGTACCTTACCTTGGATACCTCCTAGACTCAATACATACACTGGAAGTTATAGTTTTTACAGTTCTTAGAGAAATAACAGCTGGTGAACTTTTAAATCACTATACAGTTGTTAAAACTTTGAGTGTTTATCTCTGCACCAAAAACCATACTAAGAAACCTTTACAGGTTACTCTTATATGGCATTCTTGACATTTTAAGTTTGCTTGCATATTTGTGTGCTTTAGAAAGCAGTCCAAGCCTAAAATTGAGCCCTTTAGCCACTAACAATCCAGTATAACTATTTTCAAACCTAGGGAACAACACTTGACTCTTTGAGTCAGACACCCTGGAGCTAGGGCTTCCTTGACTCTCATAGTCCTTCTACTAGAACCACATATAGGATTCCAACATTAAAAATTCACACTGCCTATAAGTTGCATCATTCAGTACCCAGATCCATATGCAATATTTCTATTAAAGGAAAGTTCACATACATACTGTGAGTCTCTGTATACACTTCAGAGTCTCATACTTCTGTAGCTATCTCCTGCTACATCCCTTCAGAGATTAGTCACCATACAGAGATACATGACTGGACTCACTCAAATCAGCCTTTAGATCCTGTGCTTTGATTTTACTTGCCCATAGAGGTTTTGTGTTTTCTGCCCACAGAGAGTCTAACAAACAACTTTTTGGTTTATCACCACAGTCAGAGATGATATGATTAGGTACTCCATGCTTAGAGAAGACATGGATAATAAAAAGTTAAGTGAGTTCCATGGAGTTGATAGTATTGTAAATGGAGATGAATATAGCTTGTTTGCTAGCATGGTCAATGATGAGAATAGCTGTAAATCCATTGGAGTCCAGTAACTGTTTAATTAAATTGATGGAAATAGAATCTCATGGTCATTCAAGGACTAGTAGGGGTTTAAGCAAGCTATAGGAGTGATGTCTAGATGTTTTGTTGCATCTATAGATGGTACATGACTTGATATAATAGCAAATATATTCATGCATCTGAGGCCAGGTATAGTTATGCCAGACTAGCTCTAGTGACTGGTTTTGACTAAAGTGACCTGCTAAGATGTGATTATAGTTGTTCTGCAGGATATGGAGATAGAGATCATCAGAGTCTGAGATGTAGATGCAATCTTCAAAGCAAATGATCTTGGCTTCATCAATAGTCCAATGAGATGGAGAGGAGGGTGAAAAAGCTTTGGCCTAATGGATGCTGTCAGAGGTCATAGAGTCAGAGGATTGTACTTGCTTGATATGAGCATGAAGTTTGTTGATGTCTATAATAGCATTAGTATGGAGAATGGGAGCTTCAAGGTAGATTGTGCAGAGGAACACAGAGAGCTGTTCTTGAGTGAACATGAATCAGAAATTGTGAGAGTTGATGAGAGCATATTGACTATCCTCCCCTTTAGGGTAGATATCCTATCATCTAGTGAGTGTCTGATTTCCCACCTAGTTTTCTCAGCCAGAACTGAATAACCAGATTGAAATAAGAGAGGAATTTGGACCAGCAGACTTGTCAGCAGGTAAGAATCTTGGTAGTGGAAAAATATTCAAGAATCTTGTGGTCCATGATGACATAAATGGCATTTGTGGAGCCCTCAAGATAATGCTGCCAATGTATAAAGGCTTCAAAGATGGCTAGCAGCTCTTTATTATGAGTATCATAGTTGAGTTTGGCATTGTGGAGGCTTCAAGAGAGAAAGACAATGGGGTGGATTTCATCATCTTCAAGATAAATAGAATAGGGGCATGCATAAAAGCCTGTTTCAATTCATTGAAAGCAGCCATGCACTTGTCATTGAAATTCCATGGAGTTCCTTTGCATGTGAGTTGTGTAAGAGGGATAATGATGTCACTATTTGTATATGAACCAATGGTAGAAATTGGCAAAACCAAGGAAGGACTGAATGTCCTTGACTTTTTCTTCAGACATGCAGAGTCCTTCAGGTGACAGGATATAGCCTAGGTATTCCACAGAGTCCCAGTTGAATTCACATTTGAAGCCCTTGCAGCAGAGTCCATTGGCTTTAAGCCTGCATAGGACCTCATAAACATTTTTCTGGTGCTCCTCCAGATTGTTGGAGTAGATGAGGATATCATTGAGGTAGACCACTACTGATACATCAAGCATATCAGAGAATATGTCATTCACAAAATGTTGGAATGCCACAGGAGCATTTGTGAGACCAGAAGGCATGACATGGAGTACAGTGGCAGGAGATAGCTTCTGATAATATCCAGGTCTCATTTATTCATGCAGTTTTTCTATTTATCAAGTAACCTGATTATTGGCCAGTGCATTCCTATATAAACCAGAACCAATGTGACCAATGTTAATCATGAGTATGAGAACATGCTGATGAATCTAAGGCATATTTAAATGGTTCTTTTCTATATCTCTGACATCTTGTCTCCAGGTGTCCACCAGGCTCATGAAATTTAAACCTGGAAACCACCCTGTATGTACCAGTTGGGTTTAATGTGAATCAGACAATCAAAAATAAGGATAAACTCATGCAGAAGGTATTTCACCAGGGATGTAGTCAACGAGAAAGGTTCCTATGTTCACAGTGATGCAAAGACCTTCCATAGCCCGATTTACCAATTCCACAAATTGATCGCCATCTGGATCCACACCATATCTGTAGATGGTTTTCATAGTGATGGAGCCGGCATGACTAGAAGGTGGTCAGTTTCCAAGAACATCATGTCGCAGGTACGTACCGGCGAATATGGTGACAAAACGCATCGGGATATTTATGCAACTGCTGCAGCGAGGTCAACATCGCTTCCATCTGCACAGGATAGTACGCCGGAACGGCACAGAGTTGGAAGTCTTCGTGAAACATTTGGCGATGATTCCTGTGAAGACATATCAGACAATATCAACAAAGAATATCCCAAGAGTCCTGACCTCCACCAGGTAGAATATCTCATGAAGGTTAAGAAATCCCCCCATCCCTACAACTGTACCGTGGTGAAATCTGCACATCGACGCTGAAAGTTATGGGTAGTATCCATCAACCAAACCTGGTCTATCGGAATAGTCGCCGGAACGCCTTTCAAACAGATCTGCCGCTGCTTGAGTGGAGGTTCAGTACAACCGTCAGATTTCCAGCAGTATCCAGATACAAGACGTCGCCGTAGATGGCAGCCCATCGAGCATAAGTGGTCCATGAGTACTCTGTGGGTATATCCCAGAGGTTTCCCATGAGTGGGAGCCCTTTGTACGTCGACGTTTATGCGAGAGGTGAAACAAGCAGTATAACAATAGGACACCGGATGAAAAGAAATGCTAGCAGGAGAGACGAGGACATGGGGAAAGTATCACAGTCGGTCCCTCTACTCTCATTCTTAAGTCACACCTCCCCGTCTCCGCTCCCTATGATCCTCACAAATAGATTTGAATCAGACCAGGTGATAGTATAAAATCGAACGTATGAATCGGTTCATGTCCCTGCACTCATTATCGTAACATCTGACAGTGATCGCGCTATCGAAACCTGATGACGGAAATAACTGGTGCGATAATGGTAGCGAACATTGGTGTGCTGGTCGCCTTAGACAAAGGAACGACGAAGAAAGGATAGAGTACCATCCGAGGGTTGTGAACCTATAAACATTCGAGTTGAAGCCAGGAGTATCATTTCCCTGGTATGATATCGAGCGTGACATCGAAGAAGAATGCTTAAATCAGCTGGGATGTTCCCCCTTCTCATGTTTTATTGAATGCTATCAAAGACCAGATTGTGACGAGTTTGTCTTTGGCACCTCCAATAAGCCACCGAGACCGCTCTTCCCTTTCCTGTTTACTCATACCGTCCTCGTCGTCATCTGCGTCAATCTGGCACTCGGATAGTGACCGTGCAAACGCAATAGCCCGGCATCCGTTCTTGTGGTATTTCAAAGTTCCTAGCGGTTTAAATGATTTTGTGGAATAGAGACGAATTCTGCTGATATCGTAAGCAAGAAAGGGCGGAGGAGGGGAAGATGACATACTGTCCATCCCATCCACCTACAGCGCAAACCCTGCCGTCGTCACGGATCGTGACAGCCCCGTTTCCCGGATGATTCGTTCGATGTGTCTTAGCTACAAACGACTTTTTGTGTCGTTAAACAGCGGACGGGCTTTCATTTACTAAGCAACATACCAACAAGTCGTATCGACCAATCAAATGATCAGCAGACACCGTTAATGCCATGGAATTGTCGTTTGTTACGCTCATCGCCATTACTATTATCATTTATCATCAGATGTCAACGAAGGTGATGAAAGCGCACGTACTAGCCTCAGCGTGTAGTTTCGCCTTCCATAGCACTTTCCATCCCAACCCTTCAACGGACGTCGTCCGATCTGACTTGACAAATTCCCGCAATGTTACATTTCCACTCTCATACGCTATGAGTATTCGGAGAGTGCCGTCATGTTCGAATAGATGGAGGGACATGATAATACCTTGATATAAATGAGTGGAGTGGAAGTAAATATCGAACATTCCATTTACCAGTCGCCTGATTCCCGCGCCCGTCTGTTGAAAGGATGGACCCGCAGCTTTCTTGCTTCCCTATGGCAGCGTGAACTCGAGTGCAAGACGGAAGACACCAAATATCGGCCTAGGCAACTGTAAGAATCTGTTCCCGGAAAATGGTGCTACCGCAATACCTCTGAAGATTCGACTAAATTCGGGAGGGCAATAAAAGCGTCCCCGAGTTGGTCCTTGGACGATGAGCCCGTTTGGCTATCATCCAGCAGCAAGAGCATCAACGAAAACCTGCAATAGTTCAAAGCATTCACATCCATCGAGTATTGAAAGACAGGAACGGGTGATTCAGATAGAGCTGCTGATCCTCCAATTCCTGGTAGCTCCTCGACGCGACGCCATACGTGAAGCTTATTGTCTCGACCTTGTCTGATATTTCCCAGTTGTGAATTGTGCACCTCCAACATGACCGACAGCGACGTACGTGATGATGTTTGCTCCCCACTCCTGTACACCGAGTATCCCGTCGTCATGGGCCTTCCAAGAGGATATAGCACGCAATGTACGCGTCGACGTGGATACAACGAATCCAGAACCGTCCCCAGAGTAAACTCGCTCGTTGTCCAGGGAGATGAAGAGAGCAGTCACACCAGAAGAATGGGACCGAAGGATATGGCGTGGTGGTGGTGGTGGTAGTGGTGGTGATGAAGGTTCGGACATTTTGCCGATCAAGTCAAATTTCGATTTCGCGCTAGTCATCTTGTCCACCACTCCTTGCCTCCTTGCTGCCTCTCGCCATCCCGCCATCGCTAAGCTTTTGTCGTCTCTCTGTTCTAGAAAGCTGCTTCAGACGACCGTCTCGTCCACCGCCAATTTCGATCCATGTCGGTCCTTTTCACCGAGACGTGATGCAGACCATACTGGTACTACACCCTTCATCGAGGCGGTAAAAGCTGCCACGTCGATGGTGTCGCTTCTTGACAAAGATAGGCCTTTCTCCACGTTCCCGCTCCGTGCTGTCACCTCGTTGCTTCCCTATTTTTCAAGGCGGCGACCCGTACGCATCGAGCCACGGACCACTCTAGCTGAATACCTCGGATCCAGCCATTATCATCAAATCTTCAGCTCCCTGCAGTCTTGAACGCTGCGTTTTGGCTGATCATGTGCTTTCAGGGCTACAGCTGTTAACTGCTTACTTGCTGATGAACGTTCCCCCACCACAACATTTTTTTGATTCCTTCGACCTCGTTAGCATAAGCTTGAATTGACAAATTTCGTTACCTTATCTAAACACTCCTCGATTCAATGACAGATCTTCTCATACAAAATCCGGATTCGTGTCTTCACTTTTTGTATACGGTGGTCCATTGGTAGGCAAGAATATAATATCTGACCTTGTATCAAAATAGCGTGTCCGCTAGGTAACAATGACGAATTTAAGTGAAGAGCAACTTCGTGTGTGGGCAGCCAAGGCGTTTCATTGGACCACAAGTTCTGAAAGCACTTCAAGACGAACATGCCTCGTTTCCATCATCGAACCAGATCTTGCCCCAACATTAACCAAGTAAGCCAAGCTTTCCCTTCTGCTGCAACTTCATCTCTTACCATATCTACCAGTGTTTCCACAGCATTGCTCGGTTCATTCCTCGGAACAGAACCGAAGCGTGCGCGACTCTCGTTCCTTGTTTTTGCGCCCTTGTATTAGGGAGGCCTGCGCCGGGGACATCGACCACAGTTCGTTTAAAACTGTTCCTTCTTCATCTTCGTTCTTCTTCAACCGTAAGCACTGTTGTGTTATCACTCACCCGCTCTACGAGTCCAAGGTATCTCGTGCCAATATTGCTCACGAGCACATGGATCTTTCCCCAAACCGAAACGGTATTCTGAGTGAGTTGAGATTGGTTCAGCATGTACCTGTAATTAACCAAACGGCATGGACGCCGATCTCGAAAAGAAGGACTAGTCACCGAATCAAATCAGCGATACTCTAATAAAAATTTCAGCGATCAATCGTTTCAAGAAATGCCGCCTTCAGTGACCGGCACGCTGGATGTTAGCTAGTCTCTACTGTTTTGGAACATGGAAACTTAGAGCATTCGCACAGGCCTGTTTACTTTCTGAAGAATTTTGTATCTCACTGGTAATTTGATTCCGAAGTAGATTTACAATGGAAGTACACAGTAAACGTTGTGAAGGCGATTCATCTCAATATCCCAACATGCGCAGGATTCCCCATGCAACAGCGGATGCAAGACACGTTACAGCTACACGGCGTGTGATCTTCAAGTGTCTAGGCATAGCTGCACCTGCTAAATCAATAGCAGTCACTTCCTCCGGGGAGAGTTCTACAAGTCGGCATGACCATGAATGACAATTGGATCACTGAAGACTGAGAGATCCATACCAAGGTCCCCGGCACTCAGATACCCTTCCAACCTGGACTTTTTCGAGCTCGTTCTTCAAGGAGAACATGTGAGAAAAACATCCGAGTTAAAGTGAATAAGCAACGTACGTTACGACAACCGCACCTTTCGATTTGGTCCATGCCAGAAGGATCTGGTCAGGAGTCACACCGTACTTTGCGGCGAGATCGTTAACTGGATCATCGACTGGGCCTCCAGGAAGCGTCGTAAGTGGACTAGAGCTTAACGGTTAGATCGTGCAGCATGCTGGCAGGAGAACAAAACATGCATAAGAGGACTGTAGGCTTCAATGACAATACCCGCCTTTTGGCAGTATTCAACAATAGGGCTCTGCCGGGCGTATACATATGGATGGAGCAATATCTGAGAGGGAGTAGATAAAAGCTTATACAGGACACCACAAAACGATACCTGGTTAGCTGCAGGTTTGATATTGGAAGAGGCCAGTAACAACGCGATCTCATGGACTCCAAAGTTGCTGACACCGATGCTCCTACGTAGTATGATAAAATTAGTAGAAGACGAATGAACAAAAAGCGCTATTAATAGCTCGCTTTGCCAGTCCCTTTGCCTGGAGAGCTTCCATTTCTTTCCATACGGTGGGTATGTCAGGGACTGCGAGCCTCGGATGATGGATGAGATACAGGTCCACGTAGGTGACTCCCAGCTGCAGAGAAATCCAAGTTCAGCCTGCTTTTACCTATGAACAAGACTGATCAAGGCTCACATTCTTCAAGCTATTCTGGATAGACGTCTTGATATCCAGTCCGTCCGTTCCGGAATATTTGGTAGTAATAAATATCTCATTTCGCGCTAGACTGCTCTCACGAATCGCTACTCCAGCTTCTGTTTCATTTCTGTAGCTTTGAGCAGTATCTAGAGCGAGATATATGACGAATTCAGCTGGAAGTAATGTGAAATACTGACCAAAGTGGTTGAATCCGACAGAGATTGCTTGGTCAACCTGGCATATAGAGTCATCCCCGTTGCCGAGTTGCCCCGTTCCAAAAGCTATGCTTGGCATAGAATAACCTGCCAGAAGGAGTTTTCAACAATGAGACTTGTAGGACAAAGCAGTGTTAGCCGTACCACTATTGAGTTTTATAGGTTCCCAAGGCATCTTGTAGAAGTCCTGGAGTTGGTGCAAGATGATATCGCGACGAGTCTCACGCTTGATTCTTTGAAGTTGCCAGGTTGACTCATCAAGTAACGTGATCGTGGTACATTCACCCTTCGCCAAACAGGGGCGGAATGCATGGCATTCAGGGTTCAGGGAAGTGGCGTGCATGCGCCCATTGAAGTGATCGCACACTCAAATCATGACAGATGTTATCCCCATTGGCAGACATTGAGGGTGCTGAGACCAGCTGTCAGATATGCTTTTACTGCCTTTGTCAATCTTTACCAGACAGCTGAGCTTGATGCTCACAACATCTTTTCATCTGTGTCATTGACATTATGATCTCATATTTTTATATGAAATATCTTGTCATTGTGATGCATACTCCTGAGCTGAAACACTTCAGACAATGCTACTTAAGGCTTGAATAGCATTTTTTTTGTCTTTCATAATTTAGAGTTTCTCTTCAAAGACTCAAAGACCAGAAAAGTATATCCTATCACCAATGATGGATTCCACTAGTGTGCCATTCAATTTATATTCACTTTTTCCTTTTCTTATTCCTTTATTTCCCCCCATTTAAGCCTTTAGTCTTACAGTTGGAAGGGATGGATTCTGCTGACTCTCCATACAACTATGTTCTCTCAATGACAATTTCAATAATATTCATAGTATTCTGTCACAACATATGAGTGCCCATTGAGCCATCATCATATCAAACTATCTGATGGAATCTGATAGTCTGCTATGTAGATCAAGACATTTATTATCAGATATAGTGGGTCTTCTCTATCATATGCATTGCTGGAATCATGGAGATACTTGGCTGGAGTGGATATTTGTGATCAATTTTCTCTCTGAGTCTTAATAACCTGTTTCAAAGAATTGAGGAGATCAGAAATGAGAGAAAGAGGGTAGCAATCCTTCTTGGAGATTTTGTTTAGGCTATAATAGTCAACACAAAGTCAGAGTTCACTAGTCTTTTTCTTGACAAAGAGAACTGGAACTCCATATAAAGAGCAGGATGAGATGATGAATCTGTTGCAGAAATTATTGTCAATAAACTCATATAGAGTTTTGAGTTTGGACTCTGAGAGAGCAGGTGAGCCCAAGCAGAGGAGATATGCCTTTCTTAAGGTTAATCTTGAGATCATATAGTCTATGCTCAGATAGAGCCTTGGAGAGGATATCACTGAAAATGTCTGCAAAATCATAATACTCTACTGACACTAATGAAAGATCTGCTGATTCTGCAGATGTGGCTTTGACTCTAATATTAGGCAAAGATGGCTGCAGTGTGAACTGCTGAGCACCTTCCCCTGCACAGGCTTGAACAAATACAGCAGTGGATATGATAGAGATCTTTGCATAGTAAATGACTCTGAGAGAGGATAGGAATGGATGGATTCATATGAGAATGAAGCCTGCCAGTGATCTGGAGGAGAATTGGAACAGAGTGAAGCTCCAGAGAGTGGACTGATAGAGTCCAGTGAGTGTGGAAGTCCTGGATTCAAGCTGGAAGGCCTTGAGATAGGTAAATTATTGTTCTGTGAGCACAGAAGTCTCAGAGATGAGCTTGAAGGCTTAAAAAGAATTAGACTGATGGGATCCAGTGGGCAGAGAAGTCTTGAGGTTAAGCTTGAAGGCTTAGGTGAGAATGGGCTGATAGAGTCCTGTGAGCATGGAAGTCTCAGAGATGCAGTGGAGGCCACAGAACTGGTTGGAATAGAACTCTGATAGCTCAAGCAGAAAGTGATACTGTTCTCAGCCCAGTCAATCAGCAGATTGTAGCAGAAGAGCCAGTTGTATTTCAGAATAAGATTACAAGATGAATTTAGATGAGTGATATAGAAGTTGATGGAGAGAGTGTCTCTGGAAGGAAAACAAATAGAGATGATTGTGATTTGAGATATATGGCTTCCAATAGGGCTGTTGAATAGCCAGAGTTGCACACTATGAATGGTTTTAATAGGAATATTATTGGCAGCTACATATTTAGTGTCAACAAAGCAGTGGCTAGAACCAGAATTAATGAGAGCAAAAATATGCTGAACAGTAGAAATCAGAGACCTATCAGACTCTATACTGGATGGCAGTTATGCTGAGAGTGAAAGATAAAAGAATTGATTGAAAAGAGATGTTATATTGAGGATGACCTCCAGTGTGTGAATAAAATCAATGTGTTATGATTTTCCTCTTTCCTTTCTTAATTAATCCCTATTTATGCTTAGTCAGAGCACTAGACCAGCACTTAGGGCCATGGGACAGGCTTAGTCACTATAATAGGCTGAGTCTGCCATTGTCCTCCAATGTAATGACAACTCTCAATGACAGATAATACTTTTTTGTAGATAGTAATAATGCTCAAGAACAAAGAGCACTATAACATAGAAACTCACAATTAGTAGGAATATATTTAACTTGGACTTGAACAGTATATAAGTAGTGTAGCTCTCACTGTATATCCCCAGCTTTAAGCTAAAGTTTATTTTTCTACCACTTCATCTTGAGCCAACTGTTTTCTGGCCTTGAAGCATTTGGTCAACAAACATATATAGTAAACTCTGACATGACTGTACAAACTTGATACAGCATCAGTTTATCATGTGTTTTGATCATATGCAACTTGGACTTAACAATTAGCTCAAAGCTTATGCTTTTCTTTTTTTATGCACACTAGCATGAAGGAAACTGAATGCCACCATCAAACACATCAACCTCTGACTTAACCAACAACTTCTTTAAGCTACTAGCTTCTATTATTTGAACACTTAGGCTTACTGGCTATTATACAACTTTGCTGCAGATGACAATCAGTAATAGCTTGGATAGTCAGACACTATCAAGCATTCTAGCAGGTATAACAAATTCTTTAAAATGTCATGCCTGACCTCCTCTTCCACAACATCCCTGCCTCTATCTGAGCCTCCTTCTAGCCCATGCTTGAATCCATACTCAAAGCCAAGTCTAGCAGCTTGGATTTACAGGGTGCTAAAGAAGAGAAAAAACACTGGTACCCTCTCTGACCTCAATAAACCACTAACAGAAATAGCAACACTCAGCTCACTGGATTCAGGAACCCATAAGTCCTAGCACACTTTCCTCCAGTCCTGGATCATAAGGACAAAGACCTCTCTGATGACTTTTTTGATGACAAACCATCCTCTGACCCTTTCACCACTCCACCAGAGTATAGAATTAGAGACTGTGCCCAAAACTCTCTTGATGCCACTAGGATGACTCTAGGCTCCCAACATATATTCTCAAACTCCAGTCATGACTCTCTCTATGCCACCCTGGAAGAAAGTCCAGCCTCTTCAGTCCACACTGAGTACAGTAGTCATAGGGCCACCAATTTCTGGTCAAATAATGAGGACCTACCAGAAAGGTGGAGAGTTAGGCTCCACATCTGAGTTGACTCTGGCAGAAGGCTCTGTATACAAGTTAGCTTTGACAGAGGCACACAAGATAGTCACACAGATGATAACACCTGAAGGAATATTGAACATATATGATCT